GATTGATGGGCTGGGAGGAGGGAAGAGTGTAGAAGTTATTGTTTAGAAGAGGAATTCCCTTCCATTAGGACTTGAGGTAGTAAGTCCTTTTCTGGGGTTACTTCCCTTCTTTTAATGCCACTAGGACCAGCTTGAGAGTCACTGGACCTCTGTCGCACAACAAATCTGTCCATAGAGCTCTGTACCTCCCGTTCCTTTAAGATTTTCCTAAAATGGGCCATAACATTGTCATTGTACAGGTTGCCAACACGGCTTGCAGTAGCTGTGTCAGGGTAATTTTCATCTGTAAAGGTTTGCAGTTCAACCCACTTTGCACACATTTCCTCAATCTTTGAAGTAGGCAACTTCCGCATTTTCTCTCTCCCCCTCCTCTGAAGCAGTTTCCTCAAGTCTGGCCTCTTGCTGTTGAAGATGATACACAAATAACCCGAACATAAAAGAGAGAAGCTTACGACAGTGGCATGTACATTCACAACTTTTCCTATCATGCTTCCCCTGTCAAGAAAAGTGTTCTTATCTCCCTCTTTCTCCGTGCCCTCCACATCTGTGATCCTCAATTCCTTCCAGCAGAAATTTCCACTCTTCATAATTCGTTTTCCCGTCTTGGCTACCCTTCCCATTTCATAGACTCTGCCCTCTCACGTGCTAAACGCAATTTCTTCTCTCCCAAACTCTCTACTCCTGGGAACTCTTGTATCCTCTGCCTTCCCTACATTTCCAGTCTTTCTAATCTCAACAATTCTCTCTGTCCCTTAGACATCAAGCTTACCTTCCGCCAGACTGACACTCTTCGCACTAATCTCGTTCATACCTCTCCTCCCTCTACAGATGTTCCTGGTGTCTACTCTATTTCTTGCTCCTCCTGTCCTCTTCAATACTTCGGAGAAACTGGTCGATCTCTTTCTGACAGACTTAAGGAGCACAAAAATAGTGTTAGGCTTGCCGACACTAACAATGCTCTTTTCTGTCACGTCAGAGATCATAGCCATCCTATTGACTGGTCTTCTGCTAAAACTGTCTTCCCTACTTCCAACTCGAACAGTCGCCATCTAGTTGAATCCTCTCTAATACACAACTTTCCTTGTATGAACCTTAGCCCTGGCTTCATCTCTGTAGATGCCTTCCTCTCCCACTACATTGTAAAATGCTCCAAACTTCAGAACACCCGTGACTTAACCTAACTCCTTATTTTTTCTTTTTCTTCTTCTTCTTCTCCCTCTTCCCCTTTCCTCTTTCCTTTTCTTCTCTGGGTTGTCTTTCTCTCTTCTGTCTCGTGTTTCTGTTTCTTCTTCATTTATTTCCCACTTCCCCTTTCATGCACCTCTGTGCGCTTGCTCTCCCTCAGTGGGCACCTAGCTCTCTTGCAGTGCTCCCCTTCCTTTGTATTTGACTGGCTCGTCCTCTTTATTTCCCACTTCTACCACTACCACTACTTCTACCTCTACTACTACTACTACTACTACTACTACTACTACTACTACTACTACTATTACTACTACAACTACTGATGAAATTAAGACACATGTGCGGCGTCTGGTTGTCTTTGTTGTGGGCGTTTCGCCATCCAGTGGCTGGCTGGATGGCGAAACGTCTACAATAGGGATGCCCGGGTGTTGCACATGTGTCTTAATTTCATCTTGTCGGTATTATATACCATTCTTGTACTACTACTACTACCACCATCACCTCTTCCTGCCTATATATAGCCGTCCTACTCCACTTCTGGTTAGTGTGACTTTGTCAATGGTCCAAGTCGGACCGAAACGTCGTCGTAAGCTTCTCTCTTTTATGTGCGGGTTATTTGTGTATCGTTCCAGTCACGGTATTGTGCCTTTTTTTGTTATTTATTGTTGAAGATGATCTTGCAGCTCATCAGTGGTTAGTTCTTTGTTGTCCTCCTCCACCAACTCTTCCACATCCTCCCCACTAACCTCCAATCCCAAGGACTTCTCCAATACCACAATGGATTCCACAACTGGCATACGCTTCTCAGGGTTAGCCCCAAACCCTTTAAAATCCCTTTCTTCTACACACTGTGGCCACAGTTTCTTCCAAGCAGAGTTCAAGGTCCTCTTAGTCACTCCCTCCCCAGCCTTACCTATAAGGTTTACACAACTGAGGATACTAAAGTGATTTTTCCAAAACTCTTAGAGTCAATCGAGTGTCTGAGGTCACTTCAAAGCGCTTTTGAAACATAGCTTTTGTGTAGAGTTTTTTGAAGTTTGAAATGACCTGCTGGTCCATGGGCTGCAGGAGAGGGGTGGTATTAGGAGGCAAAAACTTGACCTTAATGAAGCTCATGTCTCCAGAAAGTCGCTCTGCCAAGTCTGAAGGATGACCAGGAGCATTGTCTAATACCAGGAGGCACTTAAGGTCTAATTTCTTTTCCATTGGGTAATTTTTCACGGTGGGGGCAAATGCATGGTGTAACCAGTCATAGAAAAAGTCCCTAGTGACCCATGCTTTACTGTTTGCCCTCCACAGCACACACAAATTAGCCTTGAGGACATTGTTTTGCCTGAACACACTGGGAGTTTCAGAGTGATACACCAATAAACGCTTCACTTTGCAATCACTACTAGCATTAGCACACATCAAAAGAGTAAGCCTGTCTTTCATAGGCTTATGTCCTGGGAGTGCCTTTTCCTCCTGAGTAATGTAGGTCCTGCTTGGCATTTTCTTCCAAAACAGGCCTGTTTCGTCGCAATTAAACACTTGTTCATGTTTCAATTCTTCACTGTCTATGTACTCCTTGAATTCCTTCACATATTTTTCAGCTGCTTTTTGGTCCGAACTGGCAGCCTCACCATGCCTTATCACACTATGTATGCCACTACGATTCTTAAATCTCTCAAACCAACCTTTGCTGGCCTTAAATTCACTCACATCACCACTAGTTGCAGGCATTTTTCTAACTAAATCGTCATGCAACTTCCTAGCCTTTTCACATGTGATCGCTTGAGAGATGCTATCTCCTGCTAAGTGTTTTTCGTTTATCCACACCAATAACAGTCTCTCAACATCTTCTATCACTTGCGATCACTGTTTTGAAAACAAACTTGCACCTTTTGCAAGAACAGCTTCCTTGATTGACGTATTGTTGGCCAAGATAGTAGAGATGGTTGATTGGGGTTTGGTATACAACCTGGCCAGCTCCGAGACACGCACTCCACTTTCATACTTAGCAATTATCTCTTTCTTCATTTCCATAGTAATTTTCACCCTTTTTACCACAGGGTTGGCACTAGAAGCTTTCTTGGGGCCCATGGTGACTTATTTTGCAGTTACAAGCACTAAAAACACTGTGATAATATGAAATGTACCGAATGTATTCTTAGATGCGACTGCACTGGCTGGCTTGTTAACACTGGCACCCACGAGGCAGCTGAGGCCACACATGGGACGCGTCCCGGACGAATCACTTAAGGCGAGTTTTTTATCGTGAGGCGAGGCAAAAATTTTGCGTTCAAATGCTTCATATGGTGGATTTAACGTAACGCGATGCATTCGTACGGCGGTGGTCCACTGTACTGCATTTTGTTACATGAGACACCATTAAATTTGACACCCGGATTTCAGGGAAAGTTTTTGCCAAAAAATTTTGTTGTTTATATTGTCACACATGTACTCTTCTGTAGCACTTAGCACAGTTACATGGCACTTAAAGAGTTTTTTTTTTTTTGGGGGGGGGTTATCGCTTCTTATGTGACTGATTTTATTATTTTTTTTATTATCACACTGGCCGATTCCCACCAAGGCAGGGTGGCCCGAAAAAGAAAAACTTTCACCATCATTCACTCCATCACTGTCTTGCCAGAAGGGTGCTTTACACTACAGTTTTTAAACTGCAACATTAACACCCCTCCTTCAGAGTGCAGGCACTGTACTTCCCATCTCCAGGACTCAAGTCCGGCCTGCCGGTTTCCCTGAACCCCTTCATAAATGCTACTTTGCTCACACTCCAACAGCATGTCAAGTATTAAAATCTATTTGTCTCCATTCACTCCTATCAAACACGCTCACGCATGCCTGCTGGAAGTCCAAGCCCCTCGCACACAAAACCTCCTTTACCCCCTCCCTCCAACCTTTCCTAGGCCGACCCCTACCCCGCCTTCCTTCCACTACAGACTGATACACTCTTGAAGTCATTCTGTCTCACTCCATTCTCTCTACATATCCGAACCACCTCAACAACCCTTCCTCAGCCCTCTGGACAACAGTTTTGGTAATCCCGCACCTCCTCCTAACTTCCAAACTACGAATTCTCTGCATTATATTCACACCACACATTGCCCTCAGACATGACATCTCCACTGCCTCCAGCTTTCTCCTCGCTGCAACATTCATCACCCATGCTTCACACCCATATAAGACGTTGGTAAAACTATACTCTCATACATTCCCCTCTTTGCCTCCAAGGACAAAGTTCTTTGTCTCCACAGACTCCTAAGTGCACCACTCACCCTTTTCCCCTCATCAATTCTATGATTTACCTCATCTTTCATAGACCCATCCGCTGACACGTCCACTCCTAAATATCTGAATACATTCACCTCCTCCATACTCTCTCCCTGCAATCTGATATCCAATCTTTCATCACCTAATCTTTTTGTTATCCTCATAACCTTACTCTTTCCTGTATTCACTTTTAATTTTCTTCTTTTGCATACCCTACAAAATTCATCCACCAATCTCTGCAACTTCTCTTCAGAATCTCCCAAGAGCACAGTGTCATCAGCAAAGAGCAACTGTGACAATTCCCACTTTATGTGTGATTCTTTATCTTTTAACTCCACGCCTCTTGCCAATACCCTCGCATTTACTTCTCTTACAACCCCATCTATAAATATATTAAACAATCACGGTGACATCACACATCCTTATCTGAGGCCTACTTTTACTGGGAAATAATTTCCCTCTTTCCTACATACTCTAACTTGAGCCTCATTATCCTGATATGGACATATTTTACATTATTGTAAATTTCTTTAATTTAATAGGTTGGCTATTGTAAATAAGAAGAGAGCAGAAGATGCTGCAAAATTAGAAGCAGAAAAGCAAGCTGAGAATGAAATAAGCCAAGGAAAGACACAAAAAGAGAAAATAAATAGAAAAGAGAGGAATAAACCAAACAGAGCTAAAAATAGTCGTCAGTCACAGGTAAGATGTCATTGGTGTATGCTTATTATTATGAGCCCAAAGTAGAAGAGCAAAAGTGCTCCATCTAAATGATGTTTCAAATATTAGAGCTTGTAGTAGTAGTCCCTCTATATCCATGACTTCTCTTGGATAATATCCCAGTGCCATTCCATTATACAGGTGTACCTCACAGGCACTTCACTTTAGAGCGCTTTACTAATACACCACTTTTTATTTATTTATTTTTTGTAATACATTGGCCATTTCCCACTGAGGCAGGGTGACCCATAAAGAAAGAAAAACTCAGAAAGAAAGAAAAAAAGCTTCATCATCATTCAACACTTTCACTATCACTCATACATAATTACTGTCTTTGTAATGATTATTTATATCCATTTATATTCATGTCTATTATTTTTGGCCACCATTTTGTTACCTGCACTCTGTTTACAGCATTTGTACACTTTGTGTCTCAGTGCTGTATTCTGGCAATTTTCAGAATTTTTCAAACATTTTACTTTTATTATTGTTATTTTTGTAATTTTTAATTACAGTACAATGGCCTCTTAAGTTTAATGCTAGTGAAAAGAGTTGCAAGCCTCTTACTGTAAATCAAAAGCTACAGATGATCAAGCTTGGTGAGAAAGGCATGTTGAATGCTGAGATAGTGTAAACATGTTTTTAGGCTTTTATATGCACTGGCAATAAAAAAATAAGACTGATTCACTTTACAGCAATATTTGATTTACGGCAGTGCTATGGAACCTAACCCGCCACATTAGTGAGTTATGCCTATACACTATTTTATGACTTCTACGCCTGTTGTGTTTTTGCTTCTTTCCAACAATGATGCTTTCTTGATTCAGTAAATGAACCAAGGTGTTATGGCCACATTCAACGCTTATTTTTTAAAAATAATTTTCCAATTTACCTGAGACTGATACTGAAGGTAGGCCAAGAATTTAGAAGTTATGGAAAAAATATATAACATCTCTTAATGGTTCCAGGAGTCATTGCCTTTGAGTAGGCCTCCTTAATTGAAAGGAAATATGACAGGAATAAGAATTAGTAAGAAACCTACTTCAAGGAGGTGGCCTTTATGCTGGTGAAGAACTCTTGATCCAAATAATTAAAGGTACTCAGACCTGGTTACCTTCCCTTATCTGGGCTTTGTAGGGCCCTTGCAGGTATGGCATTTCCCCATGAATATTATAATAATAAACAAAGTCAAGAGAAGTGAATACTCATTGTAGAGGAAGGAAAGTAAGAGTTATCTGCTAATTTTTGTTTCGTCTTTTTTAACTGGTGCATTAAAAAATAAAATAGCAAATTACTGGTGGAAATGTGGTCACTATATAAACATAAATTTTGCATAAAGCAAGGGTAAACCTGTAATTTACTCCCACTTATTTCATGCTTTGTACAAAAATTACAATAATTCTCAAATTAGGAGAATAAAGGAGAATTTTCACTATTTTATTTACAGGGCATTGGAGTATTTAAAGTTCCTCTTCCAGTCATTAAAGGATCCAAAGGTAATGTGTCAGAATATCTAATATTACACACTTCTTGATGAATTATTCTAAATTCTAACTGATCTATAAGTAGAGAGCGTATATTATACATTAATTAAAGTGGATGTCAAAATTTAATACTTTTTTGGTCAAGTATAATATGCCTTTAATTTAGCTAGAGATAATTTTAAAAGTTCTACTCTCTCAAATTGGACTACAGGACATCATACCATATACAACATGGGTAATCAAGTGCCTTATAAAAAATTTGGCAAGTTCTCTTAAATTTATTGTCAGATGCACAGTGCAAACAACACAATATATGCAGGTACTACTTTGGGTCTCTTGTGTCAGAGCTGTTTTATGGTTATATTAATAGTATCTATACCTTCATTTGATATTCATATACTATATTTTCTGTCATTAATTTTTTATGAAAACCTGGCATTGAATTATAATTCAGGGTACCCCTGAGCATGAATTTAATCTTCATAAGATATAAATTACAGTGGAACCTAGGTTTTTGTTTGCCCTGGTTTTCGTCAAATTCAGTTTTCGACTTTTTTTTGTAAAAATTTTGTCCCAGTTTTCATTTATCACCTCGGTTTTCTTCCGCCATACAGAATGTGTCTGCCTGCCCGCGCCCACACAAAGCATCCCACGCACACGTTCTGAGTCAGTCTTGCTTTGTTTCTTGTCGAGTGAACATTACCCTGCATTTTCATACGAAACATTTTGTAATAATCCATTTTTTTGTGTGCTTGTTTATTGAGTGTGACTGTTAAATAAGCCACCATGGGGCCAAAGAAAGCTCCAAGTGCCAGCCCTTTGATAAAGAAGGTGAGAAATTGTGGCCAGAATTTGTCCAAGAGAAGGATTTTGAAAGGTTTGAGGCTGACCCTGACAACCCTATGCCTGTTATGGAATCTATTGTCACTTTGGGGAAGTCCATGGGATTGGATGTAAGTGGCCAGGATGTGGAAGAGTTGGTGGATGACCACAGGGAAGAGCTAACTACCAAAGAGCTGCAGTGCCTTCAACTGGAACAGCAACAGATCGCAGCTGAGGAGACTGCTTCAGAGGAGGAGGTAGAGAGAGGGGAGAATGTGCCTTCTTCAGTGATTAAGGACATGTGTGCAAAGTGGAGTGTGTTGCAAAGGTTTGTGAAGAAATATCACCCTAACAAAGCTGTTGCAAGCTGTGTCTACAACATGTTCAATGACAATGCCCTGTCCCATTTTAGGCAAATCTTAAAGAGATGCCAGAAACAAATCTCTCTGGGCTGATTTTTTGTGTGACAGGGGGTCCAGTGACTCAAGCTGGTCCTAGTGCCAGTAAAAGACAAAGAAGAGAAGTAACCCCAGATAGGGACTTGATACCTGAAGTCCTTATAGAAGGGGATTTCCCTTCCAAACACTAACCTCTCCTCCCCCTCCCCTCCCGCTGTCTTCCACATGCCAACAAGAGTCTTCAATAAAGGTAAAAGTTATGTTAAATGTTCATTTATCCATTTCATTTGTCCTTTATATTTATTTCTCATTGTTTTCTGTACTAACAAAAGTATTAACAAAAATGTATTTTTTGTTAATACTTTTGGGTGTCTGGAATGGATTAATTGGATTTACATTATTTCTCATGGGGAAATATTGCTTCAGTTTTCATCAAATTCGGTTTTCGTCAGACTTTTTGGAATGAGTTAAAGACAAAAACCGAGGTTTCACTGTTCTTTAATATCATGACTACTGTATTACTGTGTTTCATAAATGGTATACCATTCAAATATAAAATTACATACAGTAGTAACTTGCACATAACCTAAATGACTATCTTAGATTGTTTACAGTACTGTGAGGAATATGATAAAGAAAATATTAACATAGAAGTACAAAAGTATCATTAACCCTTAAACTGTCCGAACATAGATCTACGTTCACATGCGTAGTGCTCCAAAAGCAAATCTACGTTTTTTTTACATTTTTCAAATATAACAAAAAAAAAAGTAGATCAAAGTTTTTTTACATGCTTTCAAATGTTGAAAAAATGTAGATCTATGTTTGGACAGTTTAATGGTTAATCAAAAGAATAATTAATGGATGTTACTGGATTAAAGTGTGTGGAAGCATATAAGAAATAAAAAGTTAAACTGTAAAGATTCAGAAATGAATGCCAAATGCAAGATGGATAGAGAAACTTTAGTTGACTTTGTAAAAACCAAAAGGGTATTTTGTATTGGCATAATTAAATTCAGATATTTTGGCACTCAGTTTATGCTTACTATTAGATATGCTACTGCTTGTTATGTTTCTGATTAAATGTCGGTATCATTTTTCTTTCCTTTTCTTACACCGCCTCCAGGCTTCAAGGATGAAGTTACACCATCTCCAGGCTTCAAGGGTGAGAATGCACCACCTCCAGGCTTCAAGGGTGAGATTACACCACCTCCAGGCTTCAAGGGTGAAAATGCACCACCTCCAGGCTTCAAGGGTGAGATTACACCACCTCCAGGCTTCAAGGGTGAGGTTGCACCACCTCCAGGCTTCATAGGTGATGTTCCACCACCTTCAGGTTTTAAGGATGATGATATTCCACCTCCTGGCTTCAAGGATGATGTAGAACCTCCTCCAGGCTTTCAGGCTCAAGTATCTGACTCATCTAATGCTTCTAAAAGACAAGCAGAGGATTCAGAAGATGATAAACCACAAATAAAGAAAATAAAGAGTAAGTTTTATGGCCTGTTGTGTAGCATCAGTACAGTAGTTGAAAGAAAAGTAGGCAATGTTATTTTTTCCTGAGAACTAAGATACAACTAGATTTGAACCAAAAAACCATCAAAGGCCATTTATTTTTTTTGTTGAAAGTACAGAGAAGCTCAACACACACCTTTATGTTTTGTTACAATAATTTATTCTGAAATTTATATGCTTTACATAAACAGTCATTACTTCCCTGATCATTCCTTACATCTACTACTTACTTTACTGACTTAGGAAGTTGCTATACTTGCTTTACATTTAAAGCTTGTTATATAATATTGAAAATATTACATAGAATATTTTAGCTCTTTCAATGACTTAGCTGTTGCAGTAATAGGGATTTCAACCAGTAGGTGATCTGTCTAATTATTGTAATATAAGACAACCAATCAGTGATGCTATATATAGCTGTTATAATGCAAGTAAGTTAAATTACTGTAATGAATAAATAAATGACTATTTATTTATTAATTACAGGGGCAGTTTTATTCATAAATATAAATTGTAGAGTAGCAAGAGGTTAGTAACCCTTTCTCCAGTCATATCCTACCCTGCCTCGGTGGGATACGACCAGTTTGTTCAAAGAAGAAGAAGAAATTGTATAATATAGCTTTCTTATACTTTTTGTTTCAGTTGAGCAGCAGTATGGAGTTCTCACAGAGCTAGATCCAAAAGATGAATTATGTACAGTCTTCCTTAGCAATTTGGAATTCACTGTTGGGAAGGAAGATATAGTAACTATATTCAGTAATTGTGGTGAAATAGCAGACTTCAGACTGGTTAAAGACTTCAAATGTCGGAGTAAAGGCTTTGGTTATCTTGTTTTCAAAACACACGATGCTGCTGTAAAAAGTTTAGAGCTTGATCGAACTCTCATTAATGGCCGACCAGTCTTTGTTTCTCCTTATGACCCTGGGAACCATGGTAAAAAATTCAGATATTCAACAGGTGAGGAAAAGGACAAGTTATTTGTAAGAGGGTTACCATTTTCTATGACAGAAAATGAAATAAGAGAAATCTTTCAACCCCATGGTGAAATTAAGGCTCTGCGGCTGGTCACTTTCCGAAATGGCCACTCAAAAGGTACTTGTTATATAGACTACCATGATGCTACTACAGCAGAAAAAGTGCAGAAAGCTATGAATGGGATAGAAGTAGGAGGAAAGACAATTTCAGTGCTCATTAGTGACCCCTCTGTCAAAAAGAACCCATCTAATCAAGAAAAAATGTTAGATGAGGGAATTTTGGGTGGTGGTAACAAAGGTAAAAAGGCTTTTGGCAGCCGGGGTAAAGGTATGTTCAGTTTGATGCCAAGAGCGCTTTTACGTGCTCATACAGCTGCAGGTTCTTCAGAGACTCCAGCAACAGAAACTTCAGAAACAAAATTGAGCAATGAGGACTTTCGAAATATGCTTTTGAAGAAATGAACTGAAATTATTTTTTGTAATTTGACAAGAAATTATTGTTTATTTTAAACAGTATAAACACATTAAAAGGCTGAGTGATAATGCAACCGTTTCATTTAAACATTTTGAAGAAAAACTAACATGTTAAAAATGTTTTATATTGACTTTGATGGTAATAGTACTGCATATATAGGTAGTAGGTTGGTAGACAGCAACCACCCAGGGAAGTACTACCGTCCTGCCAGATGACTGTGAAACAGAAACCTGTAACTGTTTTGCATGATGGTAGGATTGCTGGTTTCTTTTTCTGTCTCATAAACACGCTAGATAACAGGGATATCTTGCTACTCCTACTAACACTTTGGTCACACTTCACAGACACGCACATGCATATATATATACATACATCTAGGTTTTTCTCCTTTTTCTAAATAGCTCTTGTTCTTCTTTATTTCTTCTATTGTCCATGGGGAAGTGGAAAAGAATCTTTCCTCCGTAAGCCATGCGTGTCGTATGAGGCGACTAAAATGCCGAAAGCAATGGGCTAGTAACCCCTTCTCCTGTAGACATTTACTAAAAAAGAATAAGAAGAAAAACTTTATAAAACTGGGATGCTTAAATGTGCGTGGATGTAGTGCGGATGACAAGAAACAGATGATTGCTGATGTTATGAATGAAAAGAAGTTGGATGTCCTGGCCCTAAGCGAAACAAAGCTGAAAGGGGTAGGGGGAGTTTCAGTGGGGGGAAATAAATGGGATTAAATCTGGAGTATCTGAGAGAGTTAGAGCAAAGGAAGGGGTAGCAGTAATGTTGAAGGATCAGTTATGGAAGGAGAAAAGAGAATATGAATGTGTAAATTCAAGAATTATGTGGATTAAAGTAAAGGTTGGATGCGAGAAGTGGGTCATAATAAGCGTGTATGCACCTGGAGAAGAGAGGAATGCAGAGGAGAGAGAGAGATTTTGGAGATGTTAAGTGAATGTATAGGAGCCTTTGAACCAAGTGAGAGAGTAATTGTGATAGGGGACCTGAATGCTAAAGTAGGAAAAACTTTTAGAGAGGGTGTGGTAGGTAAGTTTGGGGTGCCAGGTGTAAATGATAATGGGAGCCCTTTGATTGAACTTTGTATAGAAAGGGGTTTAGTTATAGGTAATACATATTTTAAGAAAAGAGGATAAATAAGTATACAAGATATGATGTAGGGTGAAATGACAGTAGTTTGTTGGATTATGTGTTGGTAGATAAAAGACTGTTGAGTAGACTTCAGGATGTACATGTTTATAGAGGGGCCACAGGTATATCAGATCACTTTCTAGTTGTAGCTACACTGAGAGTAAAAGGTAGATGGGATACAAGGAGAATAGAAGTATCAGGAAGAGAGAGGTGAAGGTTATAAACTAAAAGAGAGGAGGCAGTTAGGGTAAGATATAAACAGCTATTGGAGGATAGATGGGCTAATGAGAGCATAGGCAATGGGGTCGAAGAGGTATGGGGTAGGTTTAAAAATGTAGTGTTAGAGTGTTCAGCAGAAGTTTGTGGTTACAGGAAAGTGGGTGCGGGAGGGAAGAGGAGCGATTGGTGGAATGATGATGTAAAGAGAGTAGTAAGGGAAAAAAAGTTAGCATATGAGAAGTTTTTACAAAGTAGAAGTGATGCAAGGAGGGAAGAGTATATGGAGAAAAAGAGAGAGGTTAAGAGAGTGGTGAAGCAATGTAAAAAGAGAGCAAATAAAGGAGAGTGGGTGAGATGTTATCAACAAATTTTGTTGAAAATAAGAAAAAGTTTTGGAGTGAGATTAACAAGTTAAGAAAGCCTAGAGAACAAATGGATTTGTCAGTTAAAAATAGGAGAGGAGAGTTATTAAATGGAGAGTTAGAGGTATTGGGAAGATGGAGGGAATATTTTGAGGAATTGTTAAATGTTGATGAAGATAGGGAAGCTGTGATTTCGTGTATAGGACAAGGAGGAATAACATCTTGTAGGAGTGAGGAAGAGTCAGTTGTGAGTGTGGGGAAGTTCGTGAGGCAGTAGGTAAAATGAAAGGGGGTAAGGCAGCCGGGATTGATGGGATAAAGATAGAAATGTTAAAAACAGGTGGGGATATAGTTTTGGAGTGGTTGGTGCAATTATTTAATAAATGTATGGAAGAGGGTAAGGTACCTAGGGATTGGCAGAGAGCATGCATAGTTCCTTTGTATAAAGGCAAAGGGGATAAAAGAGAGTGCAAAAATTATAGGGGGATAAGTCTGCTGAGTATACCTGGTAAAGTGTATGGTAGAGTTATTATTGAAAGAATTAAAAGTAAGACGGAGAATAGGATAGCAGATGAACAAGGAGGCTTTAGGAAAGGTAGGGGGTGTGTGGACCAGGTGTTTACAGTGAAACATATAAGTGAACAGTATTTAGATAAGGCTAAAGAGGTCTTTGTGGCATTTATGGATTTGGAAAAGGCGTATGACAGGGTGGATAGGGGGGCAATGTGGCAGATGTTGCAAGTGTATGGTGTAGGAGGTAGGTTACTGAAAGCAGTGAAGAGTTTTTACGAGGATAGTGAGGCTCAAGTTAGAGTATGTAGGAAAGAGGGAAATTTTTTCCCAGTAAAAGTAGGCCTTAGACAAGGATGTGTGATGTCACCGTGGTTGTTTAATATATTTATAGATGGGGTTGTAAAGAGAAGTAAATGCGAGGGTCTTGGCAAGAGGTGTGGAGTTAAAAGATAAAGAATCACACACAAAGTGGGAGTTGTCACAGCTGCTCTTTGCTGATGACACTGTGCTCTTGGGAGATTCTGAAGAGAAGTTGCAGAGATTGGTGGATGAATTTGGTAGGGTGTCCAAAAGAAGAAAATTAAAGGTGAATACAGGAAAGAGTAAGGTTATGAGGATAACAAAAAGATTAGGTGATGAAAGATTGAATATCAGATTGGAGGGAGAGAGTATGGAGGAGGTGAATGTATTCAGATATTTGGGAGTGGACGTGTCAGCGGATGGGTCTATGAAAGATGAGGTGAATCATAGAATTGATGAGGGGAAAAGAGTGAGTGGTGCACTTAGGAGTCTGTGGAGACAAAGAACTTTGTCCTTGGAGGCAAAGAGGGGAATGTATGAGAGTATAGTTTTACCAACGCTCTTATATGGGTGTGAAGCATGGGTGATGAATGTTGCAGCGAGGAGAAGGCTGGAGGCAGTGGAGATGTCATGTCTGAGGGCAATGTGTGGTGTGAATATAATGCAGAGAATTCGTAGTTTGGAAGTTAGGAGGAGGTGCGGTGATTACCAAAATGTTGTCCAGAGGGCTGAGGAAGGGTTGTTGAGGTGGTTCGGACATGTAGAGAGAAATGGAGCGAAACAGAATGACTTCAAGAGTGTATCAGTCTGTAGTGGAAGGAAGGATGGGTAGGGGTCGGCCTAGGAAAGGTTGGAGAGAGGGGGTAAAGGAGGTTTTGTGTGCGAGGGGCTTGGACTTCCAGCAGGCATACGTGAGCGTGTTTGATAGGAGTGAATGGAGACAAATGGTTTTTAATACTTGACGTGCTGTTGGAGTGTGAGCAAAGTAACATTTATGAAGGGGTTCAGGGAAACCGGCAGGCCGGACTTGAGTCCTGGAGATGGGAAGTACAGTGCCTGCACTCTGAAGGAGGGGTGTTAATGTTGCAGTTTAAAAACTGTAGTGTAAAGCACCCTTCTGGCAAGACAGTGATGGAGTGAATGATGGTGAAAGTTTTTCTTTTTCGGGCCACCCTGCCTTGGTGGGAATCGGCCAGTGTGATAATAATAAAAAAAAAATAATAGTACTGCATATTTGTTTAGACTAAGATAAATAGTTGAAACTAGCTGTATAAATAACATTATTTGTATCATGAACCTGGACTTAAATATGGTGCTCTGTTGCATAGTACATATATCATAGGTTATGGAAAATTGTACATTTTTGTTTTGAGCACTAAATGGCCTCTTAAGTGCAGTGTCCCATGAACACCATAACTTCTTTCCATAAGGTAATACTCTTCACAACTGGTTATTTCACTTGTGTGACTGAGGGAGAGACTAGGCAATGTTATGTTCTGTTTCTCCCTTACTTAAACTCTTATCTTCTGAAGTAGGTTATTTTTACATTTCACTCATCTCTACAACTTTCTTTTAGACAAGCTCATTAAGATGAAGAACAGGTTGTTCTCTTGCTTGTGTTTGGGAGGAGTAGGATTGAGAACTACACAATCATTACTTCCATTTTTTCAAGCATATTTTGATGTTTCTACTCTGTTGTGAATTGTAATTATAATTTATATACCTTGCAATACTGTTAATACAATCTAACCCCACTGAACTGGACACTTCAGCACCAAGAACTTTCCAGAAATATTTTACCACTCAAATCAAGTCTATACAGTATTCAGTAGCAATGCTCTTGATACTTGACAAGTTACCAGAAAAGATACAGTGTACATATGTTCTTTATGGCATTTCCGGAAGTCACAACTGCTACAATATGAGGTAATATATATTCTGAGCGCCTCTGCAAAAACAGTGACTATGTGTGAGTGAGGTAAAAGTGTTGAATGATGATGAAAGTATTTTCTTTTTGGGGATTTTCTTTCTTTTTTGGGTCACCCTGCCTCGGTGGGAGACAGCCATCTTGTTGAAAAAAAAAAAATTATGTACAGTATTTTTTTTTGTACATGCCTTAAGGGTAGGAAAGCTAAACTTATTTTTCACAAATTGATCATTTCACACAACACATTTTCATACAACTCTGTTTTCACATGTATTTTATATTTTTTTTAAACCTGAAGGCATAATATGGTGCCTAGGAAATGAGAGGCAATAAGGTTCAATCCAAGGAAGGGGACACCTTCCCTTACTTAGATTAAACTTGAGTGTCTCCCGTTTCCCAGGCACTGCATGACTGCTACAGATTTAGTATTTCATCTCCCAAAAGTAATAATAGTAATAATAATATTAAGAATAATATTTTTTTAACACTCCAGCCACCTCTTGCCATGTTAGGATACCTGATAGAGAAGAAAACGCTTTCACTGTCACTCACTCAATGACTATTTGCCAGAAGTGCACTGACATTACAGTTTAGATGACCCTTCAAACTGCCACATCCCCACCCCTCTTTAAAATGCTGGCATTGTACATCTTACCTCCAGAGCTCTAAGTCCAGCTAACAGGTTTTCCTGAATCCCTTCATAAATTTAGCCTTACACTTCAACAGCATGTCAAATCATAACCACTTTCCTCCACTCCTTCACACAAGCCAACCCATCATCTTAAGCAACAGTCAGAATTTTGACTGTTTACATTTGGTTCTTGTAGATTTTTCAGTAACTTCCTCTATTTACATTATGTTTAGGCAAGGTTTAATTAGGTCAGATAGATGAAGTTCTAATGCAGGTGAAAATGCATAAGCTGCTAATCCCTGTTTTGTTTCTTCCCCTCTTTTTTTTGCCTGCAATACAGTTTTGCCTCTGGGTTTGTTATAATTGGTTCATTTTAGTTGCTAGACAACAATCTAATCTAACTACACCTAACCTAACCAAAGGTAAATATGACGCTTGCTGTCAAGAAGAAATGGTTAAAAATTCTATGTGAAAAACCTACTCTTTATACACAGAATTAAAACTTTTGGTTAGGAGGATTGGCTAAGTAATCCTGTTAAATGATGTCTAGTACTTGTACAAGTGATTCTTTCACTCTGCCTCTAAAACAGAAAAGTACAAAGACATATTACAATATGACTCCAGAGTTGAGAAATGTGTACAATAGAGTAAAATGTACAAATTGTACATACTATAATCATATAATTTCTTCAAATTTTGTTTATAGCATATTTTGTGAGTTTCAGAACCATATTTGTTTTCACTTGCAATTTTATATGATCACAATAAATTAACTTGTGTATCTGATTCTGTCACTAGACCCTTCAAGTGAGTGCCTTGATACTTGCATA